CCCCCCCCTTTTAAACAACACAACTGTAGCTGTCAGGTTCACCATTCATGGTAGTCAGTGTACGTTTTTCTAATCCTTTAATGTCGCCTTTCTCTCTCCTCCTTTCAGGAATCTCTCTTATTTTGCTACACAGAGCAGTCCGTCTGCTGTCATTTTGGACCTCTGGGAAGCCCGACATCAGCATGATGGTGACCTTGACTCCCTAGCGTGTGCTCTGGAAGAAATAGGAAGGACACACTCCAAAATCTCAAACATAACAGAAACTGAGATGGAGGAGCCTGACTTCAACTACAGTAGACAAAACGGACTTTAGTCATCTCTCCTCCATTCAAGAACTGAGGGCCAGCTTTGACTTTCACACTAGAGAATCTCTGTGGCAGGGAGGACGTAAGGGTTTCTGCACACCGTGTATAAGGAAACAGACCTTCCTCTCCACGATGCAGTTTTCATTTGGAGGAGCAGAAGAAGTCCCATCATAAATCGTCTCAGTAATAAGGAAAATTCAAGCTTCTCCCTCTCCCGCAGCCCCCTCTCATTTTAAATTTTAAAGTGAGTGTTTTCAGCGTCGAAAACAAATCTATACGCCTAGCGTTCCCAGGGCAGGAAGGGGTGAGATTAAGAGAGCCATGAAAGGTAAATACTACGATGCACTATAATACATCATGCAAAACAATAATGCCAATCAGAAGGAAAAAAAATGCCTAGTGATAAATCAGTGAAGGTGACATTGAATGTTTAAAGCCACAAGAGGTTACATCTAGTTTAAAGGGTTGTCGTCTTGGGGCCTTCAGTCCTGCAGCGCGCTAACTTAACCACGCTCCATGAGTGGATGTAATACCCTTTGATAGCAGCATGGAGTCTCTTTGTATTTGCTGTAATCTAGCTGCAGGACAGTTGAAAAGTAGGCATTACCCTATTCAGACACTTGAGGAATTAGATGATCTCATACCTATTTGTCATCCAAGCAGTTCACTTCTTTTTAAAAATTCAGTCATTTAAGGAATGTATTTTTATTGCAGCGTTTTCCTGGCTATGCTGTTAACTAAGTAACACAACAAAAAAAATTTTCTCTGTGAAATTACTGTGCGCATGTGCGCAACACGTGAAATACTGTAGAGTTCTCAAGTCTGCAGACTTTCACATTGCCAAAAATGATTTGGG